GGGTGTGCGTGAGACCCGGGCCGGGGGGAGGGGTGTCCTCCGCTAACTCAAACCAGATTCCCGGTGTTTCCCGATGAGAGACGGCGGCGCGGGCTCTGGAAGTTTTCTTTCTCTCCCTGGGAGAATGGAGGGGGGACACAATGCTTGAGACCCGGGCCGGGGGGAGGGGTGTCCTCCGCTAACTCAAACCAGATTCCCGGTGTTTCCCGATGAGAGACGGCGGCGCGGGCTCTGGAAGTTTTCTTTCTCTCCCTGGGAGAATGGAGGGGGGACACAATGCTTTTTCTTTTCTGGTTGTCACCGCTTGCAATCTGACCGGCTCCCACGGCCTCCGCTGGCGGCCACGGTGCCCATTCTTCGCCCTTGTGTCTGCGCCTTTGAATGGAGACAGGGTCCCTGAGCTGTGAAGCCCCTCTCCTCTCTAGGGGGTTTGGGGTGCTAGGGGAGAGACTGCCCCGCATCCTCGCCCCCCGGCAGCCATCTGGACCAGAGTGAGCCCTCCCCATTCAGCCCCGTAAACAATGAGCGGCCGTTGCAGGAGGGCCTCCCGCAACGCAACTTTGCACAGTCTGGGTTTCTAATAACTCCCCGCGCCTCCCTCCGCCCCTTTCTGAGGCTGAGGTGGAGGAGGGGACCACCGCCAGGGTGGACTGGATTTTAAGAGAACAAAGAACAGGGCACAAAGGAAGGGGGAGCTGCGCTGTGGATCCCCCCGAAAAAAAGGGGAGTTTGTGGGGCCAGGGCAGGGCCCAGCCAGACCTCTCCCTGGTCTCAGGGTTCCCGAAACAATAAACGAGGCATCTGCAGGACCCTGGTGAGGGTCTGTCCTCGTGGGGTAGCCAGGACCCCCGCTGTGAGTGTGCCCCGAGTGTGGGGGTGCCCTGGGGTCCCAGCTTTCATCCGCTGCCCTGTGAACAGCATGTGACCAGCAGATTAGAGTGGTTTATCTCCTCCCAACTTGGACTTCACCCCTGCCCTCCTCCTTGAGGGCAGCTGCTCCTTCCCACAACAGGGGTTCAGGGAATCTTGGGAGGTACCCAAGCTCCTTCTCCTGTCTTTCCAGGGTTGGGGGGCGGGGCGGGGTCCAGTATGAAAAAATGAGCCTGCTCCCAGAGGTGGCGGTTTGGGGGAGTCCCAGCCCCTCTGATACCTCTGAATGTACGGGCCCTGGCCACTGACCGAGTGCTCCTGTTCTCTTTGCTAGCTGCGGCCTCCCCTTGGAGCGTGCCTTCCGTTTTCTGGGATTTCCTCCGTTTTCTGGGATTTCCGCCCTTTCCCCCTCATTTCTCTCCCACACTCATTTACTGGTGCTGATGTCCAGACCCAGCCAGGGAGGCCCACGCAGATGAGTCTTATCTACAAAACAGGGCAGAGGGAGCACAGGCAGAAGTTGATCTGGGAGAGAGGATCTGAGACCCTTCTGGACACGTGTCCGGAGCTTTCCCAGAAGGGCCTGGGGTTGGCTCTGGCTCAGAGAGTCCTACCTCCTCCCTCCACTCTGGAGTGGTTGGCTGATTTCTGTGGCCGGGACAGGCTGTGCCTAGGTGTGGCAGGCAAGGTGTTAGCAGCCTCTCTCTCCCTCTCTCTCTCTCTCCCTCTCTTTCTCTCTCTCTCCCCACCCTCCCCCCCTTGGGTTGGTTGGGAGTGGAGGCTCCCAGGCCAGAGCACCCAGGACTGCTGCTGGGCAGTGACTCCAGCTCCTTGGCTGGACTTCCCACGTCCCCAGTGGGGGAGGGAGGAGTCTGTCCCTTGGAAGAACAGGATCTGGGCTGATGCCAGAGATAAGGCTTGGGCGGAGGGCGGGGGGGAGGGAGGGACGGAGTTGAGCAACTGTGCCCTGGAAGCCGAGAATGCTGACCCCACTCAGGTCTCCTGACCTGTGTACCGGAAGGCTCTTCTCCGACCTTGGGACGAGGAACCAGACCCTGAAGGCCAGCTCCGGCCAGGACTCCCCCCAGGCCTGCTCTGCACAGGGACTTGAGTGTGTGGTTGGACGTGGCCCTTCTCCGCTTGCAGCACCTTCGGAAGGAAGCTTAGCCATTGGTCTCCCACGTACCCTGAGCCACAGCTTGAAAAACGCCTCCTGGGGAGCCTTGGGCCTCCTTCCGGTGAGGAGCGTAGAGACTCCCCCAGGCCCGGCCAGCTTGCACTCGGGCGCCAGGCCCAATAGCAGCCCTGGCATCCAGAGCCCTCCTTTGCTGGTAATAGGGTCCTGGTGGTCTCCACCAACCGTTCCCTAAAATGTTGCCCAGGGCCCTAGCTGGTTTGGCTCAGTGGATAGAGCATCGGCCTGCGGACTGGAAGGTCCTGGGTTCGATTCTGGTCAAGGGCACATGCCCAGGTGGCGCGCTCGATCCCCAGTAGGGGGCGTGCAGGAGGCAGCCGATCAATGATTCTCTCTCATCGTTGATGTCTTTCTCTCTCTCTCCCTTCCTCTCCGAAATCAATAGAAAGATATATTAAAATAAATAAAATAAATAAGAAAATAAAGTCATCTTTTCTTCACCAGGAATTTATTTTCTTAGCTTTTTGGAATAAGTGACTGTTTGTACATTACATTTTTATTATGGAAATTAGTTTCTTAGAGACATTCTTCAGCGAAATTAAAAACCTCTCTGCACCAAGGAGAAAACCATGGCCAGGAGGAGGCCCTGCACAATTTGATTTCCCCCTTAGGTGGCTTCCTCGGTGCCTCTGTAGCTACGAAAGCTGTTGGCACAGTCCCTGCTGGTGCGAGGACAGAGCTGAAAGCCCGGCTGTCCTTAGGCAGGTGGCCATCGTCCATCGTCGGGTGATTAATGGAAGATACGATTTTGTATTTGAGGCCCCGAGCCATCTTTAGGCATTGATGTTATCTCTCCCTCTCCCTTCCTCTCTGAAATCAATAAAAATATATTTTAAAAATAAAAAAAAAATGTTGCCTAGGTCCTGCAGCATCCAACGGGAACTGGTGTCCCCCTCCTCCCCATGGGGTTCACGCTCAAATGATGGGGGTAGAGAGGCTGAGAGCACAGAGAACCCCGAGGGCTGGCAGTACAACTTACAGGCACCTGTAGTGAGAACCCGGTTAGGTCCAGAGGACAAGGCTGTATTTTATTGGGGGGTTGAGCGTGCTGAGGTTTTGTGTATTATTTGTTGCTGGTAGTAGCACCCATGGGCCCCCCAAAATCCTGAGCTATGGAGGAGAACTCTCTTCTCACCTCCACCTCATTTATCCGGGTCAAACTGAAGTCAAAGTTTCAGTCCTGCCTTCGAGAATGGGCATTGCCCTGCGTCCTGGCAGGTGACAGGTGAAGAGGGAAGGAGGGAAGCCAGAGCGGGCTGCAGTCTGCACCTGGGCTCCAGAAGCTTGGAGCACCCCTCTCCCCCACAGTTCATCCTGGGGACCCCCATGGACATGGAAAGGGGTCAGCCCTGGAGACTTTGGCTTAGTGTCCTCAGGCAGCAGTGGAAGTGTGTGACCCAGGTCAATGGCGTGTCCTTCTTGAACTTAGGGGAGTGACAATGGCCAGAGGGTCCCTGGAGATGCTGGAATTTTTCTCCTACTTTTCAAGGGGTAGACGCAGGGCAGCGGCCGAGAGAGTGCGGTCCAGCATCATAGCCTTATGCACCGGGGTGCTGAGGGCTTGGCATACATTCGCTTATTTAATCCTCACACTAAGGCTCCGGCATTCATATTGTCACCGGTCACTTTGAAAGCTGATGAGGAAACCTTGCCCAAAGGGGCTGAGCCAGCTCCAGTAACCCGGGGAGTCTGGCTCCGGGGGTCCCTGCTCTTCAACCCC